TAACACAATTTTAGGCATTAAAATGGGTATTCATAGAAATATTAAGATCTATCTTGAATAATTCTGAGAGTGCTTATTTATTTAGCAATTTATTTAATGACAATAAATGTTGCTTTTAATAATCGGAAATCCCTAATAGGGAATCCGTTTTCAGATATTCAAGAAATTCTTATATATATAACCAATTGCAAAAAGTGCTAGCTTCTACAGGACTTTTTAGAGACTATTATGATTTCGCCATGAAGACATAGATATATGATATATAGCTGGCATAGGAAAGATCCATCGAAAAGTAATATTTTGTTGCCCTAGATATTATAGTAGCAAAAATAGTTTTAAATCTTCAAGAAGCCGATGATATTCTTACTTTCAAAAACTTTTCTCTTTTAATCAACAAATTGAATATCATAGAAACGTTCACTTTATCAATATTCCTTCTTAATTACTTTGTTTTCCTTTTAAGTAAAAACTAGGCGAAACTTTAAGGACAGTTGGCTTTGTTTTCAGGTAACTCACGAGCAATTCTAAACTTTACGATATTTGGAGCTTGCGCAACTTTTGTGCAACATTGTGGATATATGCAGCAGTTGCGTAATAAACTCAAGTTTTCACCTCTGACCGGGCAACTAAGAAACAACAACAACAAAAACAACAACAATAAGACGAAGACGAGCAGCAATTGTGCGATTTCTTTGCTCCTCTCCACTCACACACATCGCTGCACTTGAGATGCAGTCAAACTTCCAGTTTTGCCACACACAACCGGGCTTCTGTTTCTTCCCCTTGTTGCTGTTTTTATTGTTTTTGTTGCTGGTACAGTTAACATTGTCGTATATTAACCAAACTAACGATACGAGCTGCTGGCTGCGTTTGCAGTGCGTTTTGCGGTTATGCAAGTAATCCCCGAGCCAAGTTAACTTCAATATCTAATCGTCAAGCGGCCCGCCCTCCCATAAAGTGCACCCCACCAACCTAATGCCCCGTTGCCCGGTTAAACTTTTCCCCATTTTGCACAGGCCAGAAGGTAACTGGCAAGCGGCATTCATGCGCCTCTCCCTCCTCCTTCTCCTTCTCCTGCAACCTAATCAAATGTTACATGTTGCCAGCAATTTTTATTGTTGTTGCCGCTGGGCAAGAGCTACAAATATATTTATACTCTTGAAGCACATGTACATACTACATACTAACTAGAGGGAGGCGACGACATATGCTAAGATATACACTGAAAAAAGAGGGGATAAGCATTTCTGCCTGTCTTTTGGAATATGCTGCAACTTGATTGAAAAGGTGTATACAAATATTTTGTGGATAATTTTAGGGCTGCTATTAAGAATTAATGACTAAAAAATTCAAGTGCACGACAACATCGGATCGGATCGGATCGGAGTTCCACCTGCAAGCGTGGAAAATTGGCGGAATATAATTTATTTTGCAGCAAAATTTCTATATTATATATATTTTTCCATTTCTCGTCTAGTTCTCATTTCTTTTCACACTTCATTTCCCAGTTGTACTTGGAGTTTAATTTTAAGATAAGCCAAACTTTAGCAGTCCTCCATAGTCACATTTTGAGTTTTTTTCTTAGACTCATTCTTATGCATTTCAATATTAGCCAAACTCTTATCACATTTCCTCAACCTTCAACAGCTAACAGCTGTCTTCCATGGTCACATTACCCCATATATATAAGAAAGTACATGATGTTGTCTTAAATTAAAGTCTCTTCTTAACTGTTCAAGCTGATTAAGTATTCGTCATGCCTAGTCAGATATTTGTGAATGTTCTCCATAGTCACAAGGTCTAGCTGGCCTAACAGGCAAATAACTTTAGTTGGGCTTAAAAATAAAAAAAGTTCTCTCTGTGTGTATGGCGGGCACATGTGCTGTCGTTGTTGATGTTGTCATTTGGTCGCTTTTGTTGAGCCCCGCCCCCTGCAGCCCTTTGTAGGTGAGTTTGCCCCATTGATTTGATGTCGGCGCCGGAAGGCAATCGAGCTGCGGCAGGGGCTTTGGCGCTATTTGTGCACGGCTACATGGTATCAACTTTAACTTTATTTACGTGCTTGATTAAAAGCTGGCGGCAGGCAACAGCCGCAGGGCCTCGCGTTGTCTATGGGGCTATCAATCCAGCTGAAGAGCCGCCCCACATTTGACACCTCTAGCCTGAGGGGGGACTGGTGGTGTCTATTGTTATGACGAGGTAGCTGGCGATCCCAGGCGCTTATCATTGTGCAAGCGCAACTTAATTGAACGACATTTGACACAATTTAAGAGCTGACTTTGTCGCCAGTTTCTCAGTTTCTTTGCCTCGTCTCGAATTAGTTTCACTTGTCTTTCAGTCACAAATCCCACGCGAAATTGCGCATCATCTGTGAGAAAGGGGCAAATTGAGTTGGAGACAGTTACGAGTTGTGTGGAGCTTGTGACATGGAAACCCAAAAAAACGGAAACTAGAAAGAAACTAGATATGGAGCCCTCCAGATTAGTTGCATATGCTGGAAGAGGCGCGTGGTAGGCAAATGTCATGCCACAAGCCACCAGCTGCCGTCTTTGGGTGCTTTCCACTGATTGCAAAACCCCATGCCGACAGTGGCAAGTAGAGCTTTTCATTTGGCACTCGAGCAGCAGCTGCAACTGGAGTTGCCGTGTTGCAGCTGCAACTCGAATTCAGCAGCTCTTAAGCTTGCCATTTGCAACATGCAGCAGACGGCAGACGGCAAGCAGAAATGTTGTCAATGCAAGTTCACAGCTCAAAGGGTTTTAGAGTGGCGTCCAAAACTCTTCCTGCAGCTGGTCGGCGGATTGAGTTATGAGCACCGGCAGCAGCAGCAGCAGCAGGAGGGGCATGCTACATAAATGGGATGAAACTCAGGTGGCAACTGGGACAGCAACAGGAGTTGTATGTGCAAAAGCTATGCATTCTGCCTGGCATCAAATGCAATACTATATCATTGTTTCGACTGGATTTAGAAGCTTAGCAGCTTTCCCTTTAGTGCAAACGAAATACGTCTGAAAGATGAGAATAATTCAGAGAAATAACTAGTTTATAGGAAATATGGCAGAACTACTAAGGGTATCAGAATATTCTAATTCTGTGAGTACAAATGCCTATGCATTAGTTTTTTTTTTATATTATTGTATTTTATTGTTTGACAACGGTATAAAAAGCTAGGAGAGTTTTCACTGTATTCAAGTTTACCTAAAAAAACTTTTTTATCTTGTCAAAAGTTATCATCGCCAAATTACCAGCTGTGCCTTTTAGATGACTATTCCAATATCAATTTTATATTTTCTTTATATTTAAATCTATTATAACTTTAATATATGTTTACAGGCTGCGTTAGTAGAAAAACTTATTGCGCTTGTCGAAACTTGGCTTTGCCAACTTCTCTGCTTTATAACTCTATTCCAAAATCAATTTCTCAATCGATCCCACACATAACCCGCATCTTTCCACCAAAAATCCCCCACTCTCTCTGTCTTTTTCGCTCTCTCATTCCGCCCTCTTTCTCCTACCGCCTGTTTTAGTCATTTCTCATCACAGGCGGTTTAACTTTTCCACGTGAATAATGTCATCATAGGGAAAAGTTATTGTCTTACGCGCTGAACTGCGCTTCAGCTGGGCCCAGCCCCTGTCCCTGCCCCTGCCCCTGCCCCTGTTGACTACAACCCTTCCCTTGCAATAGAGTGCGCTGCATGTGCTGCTGTTGGCTGCTATTTTGAGCGCATCATCAGCGACAGCGTCGTCGAGTTTATTATGCAACGCCAAAAATTTAGTGCCATTTGTTGTCAACACGATGAATGCAACAAAAACAACAACAACAGCCGCAACAACAACAATAACAAAATAAGCAGCAAAGTTTTACGACAACAATGGATGAGTTGGGGTCTGTTTGGGGGGGCGTTGGGGGATTGTCAAGCGAATTGCGCTGCATTTGCGCAGTCATTGTAATGAGTTTCAAAGCAGCAGCAGCAGCAGCGGCAGCAGCAGAAGCAAAGGCAGCAACATCGTCTGCCGCATCGAATGTTGCAATATGTAAAATTAACGGCGCAGCTGCCACTGAAGAAGCTGCAGAATTTTCAGTTTCCCCCCAAAATAAAAGGAAACCCCAGAAAACAGTTGCCTTTGTTGGGAACTTGTAGAAAATTTGTTAGCAGCGAAAATGTTATACCCTTTGAAAATCAGGCAGAATGGGTATTATGAAGTTGAGAGAACAGGCAGCAGGAAAAGTATGTATAGCATATTCTCTATTAGAAAGATAAGCTTAGTCGATCTGGTCACATCTGTCTTTATGTCTGACTTATTAGTAATATCAGAAGCCTGGCAAGTAAAAAATTCAATCAAGTTTATTGCACAATATGTTTATCGTATATGTTAGGTATAGATTTTTTTTCTATATCGCTAGATATTTCTAATTTTATATATTCGTATATTTGCACTTATTTATTTATGGTAGATAATATTTTTATATAATTGATATATCTTTGGTTCGGCTATGTGTCACATCAATAAGCAGCTGTGCACAGGGCATATTCTAGTCGAGTACTCTCAAATGAAGCACGCTTAGTTGCTCATTTTGGTCAATTTGTATTTGTTGTAATTGACGTCCATTGAATTATGGCCCCTGTGCATGATAGATGCCATTGCACCTACCCACCTCTCCTTTACACAATAACTCCTGACATCGGACCGGTTGCAAATTTAGCCGTTAATTGCAGTTCGCACGAGCGTCAAAAAACTCATAAAAATAAACAGAAGTGCTCTAGTCGAAAGTGAACGACTAGGAGATGCCCTGTTAATGGGGAGAGATATCCAAAATGTGGGATATTCGGGATCTGTGAGCACTTTTAAAAGATTCTTCCAAATTTGACGATTCTTGCTTCCATAAGCTTCGGACTAAGGTCAACGAACAGTTTGTTCATATCGTATCGCATAAGAAGGACCTAAAACTCGCCCATAGATTACGAATATGAATATGTATTCTTTTTGGGGGTCAAAGAAGCCTCCTGCCGCCTGTTACATAAACACACACTTAATCGATATGCCCCATCAAACAAATTTCAATTGCTGTAGGGTATACAAGTTGACGTGAAACGCATGCGAATTTGTGTGACAATGCCAGCAAAATGATTGATTGATTGATTGATGAACTGACCAAATTGCCGTACAGACATTATTGTCGTCCAATTAATGCCATGATAACAATCAAATTTATGCTAATCGACGCCATCAACTGACATTCAAACTTTTACAAACATTCAAATCAAGCATAAAATTCGATACGAAAAAAAAAAACACGAAAATCAAAAACAAGAAAAAACTGAAATTCCATGTACGTTGGGGCACATGTATTGCGGTTTTTGCCTTTTTGGCTTCTGAGCGCCACCGCAGCATCCATCAAGCGCCGGAGCTGGACACGCCAAATGCTCTACGAGATCAATGCACGTGAAAATTAAAAATAAATAAATAAAAAATGAAAAATAAAAACTAAAAAAGAGTGAAAGTCTATTATGTGTGTGCTTGTTATGGGCAGGCGAGAGCCATAAGAAATGCCAGCGACATCTGCAACACATCGCAAAACTTTGGACATCAGCTCAAAAATCTCTGCTATGCATGTCAAATTATTTACCAGACTCAGTGTGTGGCAGCGGGCAATCGATTGACCACGCCCTTTCAATAAACTGACTCAGACTCATGTATGTCTATTTATAGTGCAGAAGACAATTGAATTGACTCCAGTGATTGATAATCAACTGACTGCTGAGATGCCCTACAAATGGGTTTGAGAGGCGCTGTAGTAAAGTTTTAAAATCGTGTCGCATTAGGTGAGTATTTTTATTGCATTGATTGATCGATTGACTGACTGATGAGACGTCCTGCAGAATGGTTTCAGAACAGGTGTAAATAAAACATTCATAGCAGTTGTTGTATAAGACACGTTAACAAAATAGTAATATTATTGATGTGATTGATTGATTGACTGATGGATAAAACACACTGAATAATAGTTTAAGAACAGCCTGCAGAATACAACAAGGTGAAGTGTAGCTACAACATTTAGTACAGCCAGTATATTAGTAAAACCGTGCCGAACAAATTAAGCGATTCGAGTGATTGACTGACTGACTGTACAGCCAGTGAACTAGTTAAGCTGATCAGAAATCTCTGTTACAGGCAGCCAATAATATACCCTATAAAGTAATTGTCTAGAGGGTACTTGAACTTTCTTTTGACGCCCCAACCTTAATAAGCGCATATTGTGTGGCCTTTTCTGTCACAGCAAAGGCCAGCAAAAGAAAAAATTTGTGTTAAATAAAAAGAAAAAATAATTAAAAACATACAAAAACACAATACGAATACCATAAGAAGGCAGTTATATGCTTCTTCTTGGTTGTTTTTCTTTTATTTTATTTGTATTTTTTTTTCGGACAAGACCTTCAAAAGCTGAAAGCGAAAACTTTGCAATTGCTGAAGATTTGGACTTCTTTTGGAAGACAATGGACAAACAGACGCAGTCATCGGTTGTGGGTGTGAATTATAAATGTAACGGCAACAATTGTAAGCCTCTTGAGCTGTCCATCAATCCAGCCATAAATCAATCAGTCAATCAATCAATCGCCCAAACACTAATTAGCATGCAATTCACTAAGCAATTGTAAAGTGCGACTTTGATGTCGGCGTATTATATATAACTGCTTGTTTTTGATACTTATATATGTATATATACTATAGATATGTATATATATATAGTATATATGCCTCGTAATGCCCACATTCAAGGGCTTTGCAAACGTGACGCGCTTTACAAATTGCAAACAATTTCTTGATGACTTGCAAAGGTCGCGCATTCACGTTGTCGGAATTAACGCGCTTTTGTTATAAATAATATATTTGTGCACAACAACTTTGATTTTTTGCTTTGCATTTAGCGAATCTGCGTTAATTTTCACACACACAAACACCGAGCCAGTGAAAGAGGGCGTCAGGTAAGAAGCGAAGGAACAAGTTCTGATGATCAGAGAAAAAATTACGCTTAACTGCCGGTAAAAGTCTCCCAAAATAAAACCGGCTTCAAATACGCATGTTTCCTGTTCATATGCAACCCGTTTTTGGTTATACATTTTTTCTCTCTTTGGAGCCTATCGCATAACTCAAAGGCATTTTACAGCGCCCAACTCTCTGCAGTCGCCCAAAAAACAAAAAAAACTAATTAAAAACTCTTGTTTCAATACACTATCGGGTGAAAAACCGAACCGACTACATTCCAATTTGATGTGCGCTTTGTGATAAGCAACAATTTGTGATACCCATTATAAATGGGTAGAAGGGGTATGGGATGTTTGATTAAGAGTATGTAACAGGCAGGTGGGATCCTATACAAATTTATATATATATACAAATTGGAAAAATATTCTTACAGGTGGAGCCTTGCCCTTGGTATGCACACACTTTTTTATGGCATGTTGAAGCACTGCACAATTTCTTAGATGCATATTTCTGTGTATATTTTCAATATTTATAATGGGTATCTTCTAGTCGTACACTGCCAACTAACAAAATGTTAGTTGCAAGTTTCCATTTTATTAATGTACTTCACAGATATTGTTGACAAATGTAGAGAACACACAAAACGAATATGCACGAACCAATAAAACACATGCCACACACACACATATTATACGCAAGTGTGTGTGTATATGCATATAGATATAGTCCAATTCACTTTGTGCCAACTGCAGATGAGACAAAAAGAATGGGCCAAAAAATTGAGTTGACTTTCAGCGTCACGTGACATATTGAATGCGAACAGCACAAAACACATGCAAAACAAATTTATTTTTGGCACATAAAAAATGCCAATCTATGCAAATAAGTGGCACACATCCATATTCCAGCCAGACCCCCCAGCCAATACTTCAATATTCTATGAGCTACGCACTCTCAACAGACCCATCACGATTTATGCGTGTTTTTCATATTGACAGCATTTAAACAATAAACAGCTTTATATATGGCATATATATTTGCGTTTGCCATGGCAACTGCTGTTTATTAAATGTGTCAGAAATTGTTATTAAATTTGAGATAGTGTGTTATTTGATTTGCTGCAAGCATATTGAGTTCCCGAAAGGAAATGCATTGCCTAAATATCAAAAATAAATTGAATAAAAAGAAATTGATGTGTTTGTGGTTCGAGACCTTGCTAAAAACATTGTATCAATATTTTTTGTTTCCCTCTTTTTTCTTTCCCTTAAGCCTTATTTATATTTACATTTATATGAACTCTTTTATAGCTCTATTTCCATTGTACGCATTTTAATCGTAATGAAAATCTGTGTCTTTTGATTGTTGCAACGGAGCCCGGCCTAATGATAGACCCGCTCAGCAAAACTGGCTCGAATGCGCCTTTTAGCTGGAAATCGAAATCGTGCCGGCGCGCCAGAGCTTTAATTAAAGTTGGTCTTAAAGTAACATGGCCTGCATTAGATCGCAGCGACTGGGACAACGCCTAAACCCAACTACAACAACTGTAATAAACATAATAAAAAAAAATCACCCAAATTAAGCCAACGACTTTCGCCTGGTCAACCGCAAAAATTGTTCAAGCAATTTGTATAGACTGAAATATAAAAAATTTAAGTTAAAAAAAAAGAAGTGAATATTGGCAATAAATCTGTGAAGAAAAGGAAAACTGGTTGGGGTAGAAAGCACGCACCGCGACTCGGAAGCTGTGCAGAAGCAATGCTGGGAAGCCTTGTGTTTGACCAGAAATAAAGAAAGAAAGAAGACGAAAAAAAACCCCTCAAACAGGTTAATCTTAATGTGCAGTAAAGCCCATAAACAAACATAGATCTGGTTGGTATGCGAGATACCACAACGCGTCATGTTAGCTTTTTCTTTCTGGGAGAAGGGGGCTGAACAACTATTGCGTGAATCGACGGCTTCCGACAGTTTGACATGCAAATCAGTTTTGGCCACAGACCATAAATAATCCTTAACAACATGGGCATAAGTGTTGCTGTTTCATAAACACCTGTTAATCGAGTCAAAAAATAAATAAATAGTAATGCTCGAAATAAAAACAACCAAAACTTTCTCAACGCAAAAATTGTTGGGTCTAGACAAATTGAACTCTCACTTACTCCCACGCTCACACCTCACCTGACACAGCTGTCCACTGAGAACCCAAAAACTGAGGCGTCAACACAACCTGACCATTAGATATACGTATATATATATACAAGATAATGAATGTGTAAAGCAAAGTAAACAAATTTGTTGTAATGAGCAGCGGCCAGTTTGTGTATGTCTGGCAATTGCAGCAAGACAGAAATTTTGTTTAAATACCCTGTAACCAGTTGAAGTTGGGCATATAAAAACATATATTCTCCATATCTCTGCTTCAATCGAAATGCTATTTTCTTCGATAACTTTTCTCAACATCTGCGTTCTATAGATATAAATCTATGCATATGTGTGGAATATAGACAAACAATATTGTACTTTCTTTTATGACATACACAGCTTAAGAATACATAATTTTTTCACACCTTTGCGCATACCTTTCTCTATTTATACCTTTTACTATTCATTCCCCAGATCTGTTTTGTTCTGTTTTTTTTTTAAGCTACAGGGTATATGTTTGTCTATCACTTATGACTAGACCTCACTTGTACAGTTTTCCAGTGGCTCAGTTTTCACTTTCACAGGCAGGCGAAAATCTTTGGCCCACATGGCAGCTGCGACAGACTTGTATTCTGATTTTAAGGCCTGCTTTCATTTTCATTGAACAAAAACTGAGACACCAAATGCGGCAATGTTGGCGTTGTGGCCAATTGCAACAGCAGCGGCTGCTCGTGGCCTGGCCAGTTGCTTAACCCAATTTTGATATCATTTGGCTCGTGGGCTACGCAACTGTTGGCAAAAAGCTGTCGATGCGGCTTGAGACGCATTTTTTTTCTCTGCTTAAGCCAGAGCTAAAATACATATATCATGAGCTGCACCTGTCCGTGGGCAGCGGCAGCAGCTGAAATATGAAAGGAATGCGTAGCTGGGCCAGCCTCAAGTTGGGAGCGCACAGTTCAATTGAACTGGTACAATATTTGCAGTTATTCGTGTATTTGCTAGGCAAATGGAATAAATATTTGGCCAGCTATTGGATTTGATTTTAATAATTATTAATTTCAGTTTATTTAAATTACAGCAAAATAAACAAATAATTCAATGCCCCACGCATAGAGCACACGCACACTAAAGCTTTGTACGCCAAAAGCTCTGTTTAAACAAGAATAAGCAGAACTTGTTTAAATCTCACTAATACACGCACATTAACCCAAGCACACAAATAATTGAATTGCTTGAACAAAAGCTATTTGTGTTATTTTGGCTACTGATTCGAATTAAATTGCTTGAACAAAACGTATTTGTGTTATTTTGGCTACTGATTGGAATGGTTAAATCTCTTAATTTCCTTGCCAGCACCTGAAAACCCAAATCTAAATGCTTGTGGCTCAAAACAGATGCCATCAAATGCAATTTCGTTGAACCACAATAAAAAATAAATGAAAATAAACAACATGCATTTCAAAGGCTTAAGCAAATAAATGTGTGTGCACTGAACGTAAACAATGTTTTGTGTTTGCTTAAAAATTAATGACTTTCAATTAAAATATGCATATTGAACAAATTGTGCGTATTTAAATTAAATCTCTCTAGCTTTAAAAATTGCAAAGAACAGAAATCCGTTCATTCATTCGCCAAACACTGCGGGGCCTTTGGGAACCAACCAAAATTGTAGCTCAATAAATCACAAATGAAATCTTTAATTAATCTTTGCAGCAAATATGAGAAAAAAAATCGTACAAAAAATTAAATAAATGGCATAGAGCTTAAATAAAACGCGCAAAACAGAGAGCGGAAAAACATAATAAATGATTTTTAATGTGGCTAATAAAAAAAGGGCATTGCATTTTGCTTTGATGAAGTCGATAAAAAGTGTGTATGCGAACATAGCTAAAAATATAATGTAACATCAGGAACAATAAAACATTTTGCTATAAAGCTCTATTCATAAAAACTGCAGGTACAGCATTATTATAGGCATTATGCATAATTATCTATAAGATTCTTTATATTTGTGTGGATTTATTTATATATATATTTTTTTTTGGTTCCCACCAGACGACGGCAGAGCTGCTCAGTTCAGGGTCACATGTGTGCGATCGCAAGTCGAGTTAGTCGCCAAGTTCCTAAGAATAACTCAGACCCGGTCGCAGTCTCAGACCCAGCTCTGCCCCTGCCCCTACCCCTGCTCTATACCCATTCCACATAATTCAATTTTCAATTCAACGTGACGCTAAAAGCTTCATTTACAGTTATTATTGTCTGTCTATAGAGTATTCATGTTATGCATATGCATTCATATGCATACACTCGCGAATACTCATTTAGTATTTGTATTTTTTTATAGAGATGTTCTCGCTTGTTGTGCAATGGCGGTGGGCAACAGTACTTATCTTTAATCTCTTACGTCAGACATAACCCTTAGAATATGACACGTCAATATGACTGTGAATGTGTTTTTTATTCACTTTATTCGCAATACGCAATATTACGAGAATTGCATGTGCAATGGGCCGCTTGAAATGGGCAGGCAACAATTTCATGTTCACGTTGCTTTGAGACGTGTTTTAGTACATGTTTTTATTATAAACTGACTTTAATGTCAGTGAACTGTAAATAATATATGTTTAAGAATTTTTTTCGCCCCATTTACCTTTAAGGTTGTCGTTTTGCGTAACGTATTTTGAATATATTTAAACTTATTCAGTTCTTTTTATTTCTTTGAAGAGAGTATTAGAATTTAGTTATGAATAAAATCTATATACATACATATCTGATAAAGTATGTACATAATACTTAAAGGTTGTTGAGCCCAGAATAATCATTATTAGATTCATTTCTTAACTTTACACACTTTATATGGAAACACAGAAATGTCAAAACTTAACAAACACGCCGAAGCTTTCAAATTAGCGAGTCACTACTGTATCAGCAAAAGGTATGCCTGATAAATTCTTATCAAATTCGACGAGATCTCAAGTTAAAAGAACTTTTTTGTTAATGGCGGGACACATAAATAACTTTCAAATAATTTCATTACCTCAAAAGAGCTGGCAAGCTTTTCAAATAATAAATCAATAGACTGAGCTGCTTCCACTTCTCTCATTTTTTGCGAATTCGCTATTCAGAATGCAATTTAAAGATTCTCAGAATTTTGAGTAAGCGAGAGGGCAACTTGCCAAGGTAGATAAAAAAAAAAAAAAACAACTCCTAAACAAAACCTTAACAAACTTCAAAGTTCGAAAAGCATCATAAATAATGTCTGAAAGTTAAACTACAATTAGAAGCCACACAAAGTGAGGAGCTGGGGGGGCTTCAGCAGGGTAGAGGGAGGGGTTTCCACGTGGGATTTACCCAACAAGTGCACATATTTCAAGATTTTAACGAGGTTTTCAACGTCGTGAAGACTAATTATTAGTGGAGCCCCGTGAAATGGAAGTTCACAAACTTGCAGATCATACTTTTATGCGATACGTGAGTAAATTAATGCAATAGTCAAGCGGAGTTGTCACATAAAATTACGAAATTTAGTGCGTCACGTAAAATGCGCCAACCCAATTAAATCGTTCCAAATGGATTTGGGTTAAATGAGAACAGTTAAATAAAGATTTGATGATGTGGGGGGAACTTACATTTCCGAAAGCGCACAAATTGCCAGACAAAGTCGAGAAGTCGTCAAATCTGGAAATAAGAGTAGAAAAAAAAACAAACACTTAGCATAAATTAAATACATATTACAATCTAAAACAATTTGCTAAAAATAAGAAGCGAAAAAAGACGAAGATTTATCTAAGAAAAACTGCGCATTGCGCGCGCAACGAACGGAAACGACTGCACACAGACAAAGTACATACATGCATACACATGTACATATATGTACTATATATACATCTTATAATATGTATAAATATATAAACAAATTAGTCGCGGCTTTTGTTATCTTTATTTTTTTTGTGTAGCCGCCATTTGAGGCGGAACACAAGTTCAAGGTGAGCTGGGGGAAATACTCAGAGTTCATTAAAATTCATTTAAAGCTGCGCTGAGAACTACGTATTATGAGTGCAAGTCAGACTAACTGGCTGATCAATCAGTCAGTCGATCAGAGCAAACTACGTAAGAGGAATGCTTGTTAGTCAATCAGTCTGTCAGCTGATCTGCTAATCATTCAGATTGTCCATCAATCAGTCAGTCAGAGAGAACTACGTTATATGACTGCTAGTCAGATAGTCAATCAGTGAGTTAATCAGTCTATCAATCAAAAGGAACTACGTCAGTCAGTCAATCAGTGAGAACTATTGCTAGTCAGTCACTCAGTCAATCAGTGTTGTTGAGTTTGTCTCTAGGCTTTTCTCATTAATCTTTCAATTATATGCAAATTTTTTAATTATTTAAGAACACACTGCAAATTGAATTGTGTGCGCCATGAAGCGAGACCTACCGCAGTTGTAGTCAGATACGAGTGAACTCTTTTATACCCCCCTCCCTCCCTCATACCCCACTCAGCAATCTGCTGGCTGTCTGTCCTGGTTGGTATTAAATTTCCAACTCATTAAAATTTTGCGCACTGTGTGCGAAAAACTGGCGTCCAAAACCAGCAGCAGCAAAAGTAGCATGAGAAATAATTATATGGTCGCAAAGTACCCTGTGGTGGGGATATCCCTCTCCCCCTCTCTCCCTGTCTCTATAGCGAGCGAACTTACAGAGTGTTTGCATTTGTGCTTTTGCCCTGGCAAATGGAAAAATGACGCGGCTTGTCACTCATAAATGAAGCGCATACAAGAAAAAATTGAGTAAGATTTAAGTTTGTGTAGTCAAAGCTTAAATTCCCTTCACAATTATTGAGCTTACAGTAAAGCTGACAATAATAGCTAATCCCTTCCCTCTTCCAATGTGTTACATGTCTCGTAAGAAACTGAGAATGCCTTATGCAAAGAGTATGAGCACTTGTGCGCAGTGCATGCCGCTGCTTGATAACTTAATGGAGTGCAATGTTCTTTGCGGCAGCTACACTCAATTATACGGCTCAATTATTCATGTAAGTTCAATAAAACCTTTGACTTGAACTTAATAAATGATTCACTTGAAATTCTGGCATATTATTGATAACAATTGTTTGCGAACGACCGGAAGTGCCCGCGCGACCGGAAGATAAAAATGTGTACGAAGCTCTAGAGCAATCTAATCGTAGCACACAAGCTGACGTCAGTTGGCTATCATATACATATAATACTCTATAATACACTATACTATATGTGTACATATATTTGCAGCAATAAAATTGGAAAGTAATATGTACACAAAATTGGAAGATTGCGTCAGTCAATCGACAACCCACACAAAAGACAGCTAAAAAACAATAAACGAAAACACAAAACAAATAATAAAAAATTGCGCCAAATTAAGCGTCAGGTTTCTTGTTCTCAGTCCGTCTCTTTCTATGCGCATATCGCGCTCTCGCTCAGCTGCAGCTTGTTGCTGGTCGAGAGTCACAATTAGAGAAGTGCTTACAAAAGGTCAGCCGCACACAATTTGCCCAAACACTCGAGACAAAAGCGAAGCAAAAACATAAAATAAAATAAAATAAAACTAATAACAAAACGTAGCAATAATACAAAATAGAAGCTTGTGTCTAAATTAAACGTTTCTTATGCCCTGTATTACATGACTGCCAAAAGGGGCATGCCCGACGCATCAGCCTAAGAATCCTAAATAGATTCCGTCGTATATGGTATTTGAGTTATAACTAAAAATTACAATGAAGCAGATTATCTTAGAGAAATTGAATAATTAAGCAATATTTAATAATACCCATATGATATTAATTGGTATATACAGGGTATGCTCAGGTTGATTAGCTATGAACTTAACACTGCCGTCTTGGCTGATTTCTTGTTATGCTTTTGGCAACTTGGACGACGACAAGCCCTTATTTGTGCCCCGTTGTCTGATGGAAAACAAATGCTGGCCAAAGAGTCGAAGACGTTGTCGACGCAACGTTTAGCTCCGCTCTAAAAGCTGGATTAGTGCCATGTTTGGGGCGTGTACCGCCAACATCGTAGTCGTCCTGGGGTAAAAGGCGGGCAATTAATTTTTTAATGGCTTAGACGAAACTGACTGCCTTTGGGTGTTATTAGAAAAGTTCGTTTTTATGGCGCAGAAAAACTGCTTGAAAATTGTCAATTAGCAAAGTGCTGAGGCAGGGCAAAGCGAGAAAAGAGGAAAAGAAACGGAAAGAATGTTGCAATTGATAACAAAAGCAACGACTGCGCAATGCTCTATATAATGGGTAATGAGAACTTGAGACTTGTCTTGATTATTTTGGTGAGCTGGGTATTGATTTTTGAAATTCGTGGACGCGTGGCAATAATATATTTGTCGCCAATTTTAGGGAAGGTCATTCGAAGTCTACCCAGCACTTAATCGATCTATATATCGATTTTTTCGTCCAACTTTGTTCATGCGAAATTCATAAGTCTCATGCATCAGAACTTGCCACGTAACCAATACACACTTTCTCACTTCGCGCACAGCGTATAAATACAACCGCAACAGCCGCTAAATGTAGCCAATTTGGCTATAGAAAAGCAGAGTTTTTGGCTGGAGAACAAACAGGCAACAGTTGCTTTCTTGACCATCCAATTGAGTACGACTCGCATTTTTATGATGTTTAATCTAAATTTTTACGAGCTAAATACATTTTACGGCACAGGCTCGGTCCGGCGACTGCCATTTGCCTGACGAGCGGACAGCTCGAAACTCGTTACAAATAAAAAAAAAATGTATATATAAATATTGCCCGGCGGTTGGGCATTTATTTATTTATTTAAAGCCTGCGTTGCCTGGCCAGCAATTTGTTTTGATTCAGTGAAATATCAAAAACGTGACCCAAGTGCACTTCCCTAAAAACAAAAAAAAAAGCCCAAAACAAGTTAGGGTGTTATTTCAGTCGGTAGTGCACGACTTGAAGATACGCTGCATAAAGTGTGCTGCTTCTTCTTCTCGCAGTCCTATACTAGGCAAACTATGCTTTTAATAACTTGGGAGTTTATCGACTTATCTTTCTGAAACTTGCAGGGCTTCAATATGGCAAACAAATCTGCGTGTAAGCCAAAGTTGAAAGCTCTACCTTTGAAAATTCTCGAGAAAATGAATACTTATTAGATAATTAAAGAGGTCCCCATCTATGCATACTGTACGTACCGAATTTTATTATATTTAGGTCTTACAATTCTCAAATTATGCTCAAGAAACCATGTCTCAAAATCAGCTAAAAGTCATTATACCCGTTTGCAACAAGTTCATGGCATAAAAACCGTAAAAAAACAAATGAATCCAGGCAATATTTTAGCATCTTCGTGTGCGGCTGGGCGTGAGGTAGGGTAGCATTGAGGTCTCTGCGCTGTGGGCACTTTGGACAATCAGCACTTAAATGTATGCAAATTGCATTTAGCCAAATTGAGCGTTAACTTTAACCCAAGCACGTGCGAATGATTGAGCCAGAGCAAGCCGAGTGGCAGCGCATCTGATACAGATACAAATACATAGATAGAGATAGCTTCTTATCTGCGAAACGCAACTGATTGATGGGGCATTCGCTGATAACTAATCATGATTAGAAGCGTCTGCAGCTGACTCAATTGATTAGCAACCAAATGCGGAAGAGTCAGCATATGCATTCGATGCCAGTCGCTTCACGAGTCCCTGAGAGAGCGAGAGAGGTCGAGTGGAAGCCAGCTACTTGACGCCCGCTTTAATCGTGTTCAAGTTGCCAGTTAATCCTGGCACTTCCGCTGTGGAAGGAAAAGCATCTGAATACTTCATCATATGCATTGCACTTCCGTGTGAATGTCCTTCAAGAGCTGCCTTAGACGAGGGCTATTCAAAAAGTACTAGAGAAGGTCTGACATTGCATTAAAACACTGTTCAACACTGCATATTAATATGCATATTTACACTACTCAACACTTTATAAATATGTGGATTTATATATTGGCTAACGAAAGAGTTTTATGATCGTGTGACAGTACCCGTTTTTAAAAACAATTTTTACTTTAATTAATTCAACCTTCCCTCTTTGATCCATCTGATCTTTTGATCAGCCATAATTTCACCAAGCCAGTCTAAAGATCTCTATCAAAGCAAAACTGTTAACTTCTCTCACCTTTCTGTTGATTTAATGACCTAATGAGCCCAATTAAGCTTTTCTAATGTCATTATCTAATCGACTCAAGATTTCTGTTATAATTTATGAACTGTCTAGCACACATATCTGCCGTTAACTACAATAAATAATGTGATCGCAGATTATGGCATATCGGCTATTTGATATGCTAAGCTCATCCGGCTACGAGCGCAATTCTTTACAACTTCCACGGCCGCCCGCACATGGCAGTCGATCTTGCCCCATTACATGCAACTCGGAATGGCTTTGCCAACACGCTCCATGGCGTCCCCCGGCAAAACTGTCTCCACTTTTATGCGCTAACCATAAAACACAATTTCAACTCAGGCAAAAGCAAAAAAAATCTACACCACAATTGGCAGATGGGTTGGTTTTTTTATTAGGATTTGGGCTTGGAGTCTGGGTAGAGGCCACTTGGTCGCGACCACAGAAGTGACTTAACTGGCTTTAAGCCTGACTTCGATGTGCTCCGGCGGCGTCGCATCTCTATTTCCACTAC